TAAAAAAATAAAGATTTTGTGATTTTTAGGTCCTAAATACACATCTATTATAAAATAAGATGAACGATCTGAGAAGAGAATAGGATCTTTACTAGATATTGTACCTGATTCTACCTGTACGGTTCCTATTGTAGCTGGAGAAATTCATTTTTTGACACATTATCTTCTTTGGTAATTAAGCTCCTCATTTTGTAATTGCATTGCTTCTTTGAACAATATTGAGCACTGCACTTAGCTTCTCTACAATATAAATACAAACGCTCTTGGTGACATCAAGTCTTTTCTTGTTCCGTAAGAGGTTTTAAATGTATTGTATTGATTTGCATTAGTTTTGGCTTTCATGAATATATTTCAAAAAACTTGAGAATTATTGCCATTACTTGACTTATTCCTCTCAAATTAAGTCTTTATTCTTGATATCTTTCAAATAATTGATTGTTACATGCAATGGCTTGAGCAATAAATTATTTTAAAGATTTTATTTTTAGCATTGTTAATAACAAATCTTTGACGCTATCCTTCAATCTATATCGAAATTGATTCATAAGTGCTTTGTCATTCTAGTCCATGTTGTAAGCAAGGTTTTGGAATTCAGCAACATATATAATGGCTGATTATGATCATTGTTATAAAGATAAGAATTTGATTTTTACTACTTATTTTCGATCACTTTCTCCAAATATAGCCATAAATACTTTTGAGAATGAATTTAAATCATAAAGAAGTCATGAATCATTTTCTATGAAAGGTGCAAATAAAAAAAGAACACTTCTAGATATAAGTGTACCTATGAAGCTGACTTGACTAAATCCATTTACATATTGGAAAGGATGTAACCTTAAGTAGAGCTTAACTTATTGTAAAAATCCTCAAAATTTTGATCTTGTTCCATCAAACTTCTCGGGCATACTAATTCTTGCCTCTCTTCAACTTGTAGATGCAAGATCTCCTAAATTTGGTTGTAAGATTGATCGACTTGTTTATCTTAACTGTATAATTTCTTGATGTAGACTCTTGACTTCGTCCATAGGAATAGAAGTAGTGCTTCCATGATTGACATTGGTGATGTGTGAAATTTTTACCTTAAGAGTGTTGAGAAGCTTGTGAAGATCCACAATAGTTGCAAATCTATTCTCGATTCTACTAGAAGTAGCATCCATAATCTTTTTTTTATAGTCAATTCAAATATATCCAAAAAATTGAATTAGAAGAGGATAATCTACAATCTCTAATAAAAATTTCTACAAAGAGGGATAATCCACTATCTTTAAAGAAACGTTCATTGTTAGAAAAAAAAAAAAAAAAAAAAAAAAAAAAAAAAAAAAAAAAAAAAAATGTTTAAAGGTAGATAGTCTGCAATCTTCAAAATACAACAATAAAAGTGGAGTAATCCACTCACTTCCAAAACAAGATAGAAATAATATATTAGTAGTCTTATCAAACTATCAAGGATATGAATCTCAAAGAAAGAAAATCCTCAATGCACTCTTATATCATTGAAAAGAACTAAAAAATCACTCAAAGATGGTATATTACTAAACTAGAATGGCTATTGTCAAAGACAAGAAGACTAAAAAGTCTTGAAATAAGACTAAGGATTAGAAAGATATTGACAAGAATGAAGGCTTCACTCTTACCTCTATATATACTCTTTACTAGGAACTATGTGGCGATGTCCTATAGGACCTCTAAAATGTGTTGACTTTGCTAGCCACATGTCTTAACTTGCAAGGTAAGTTATCTATATATGCACCACATAGTTAGCTTGTTCTACAAGTTACCAACACGTGGTTAACTTGTTGACCAAGTTTCTATCCTACAAATATATCTAAAGTCAAAATCACATTTATAAAGCTTTTAGGAAGCTTTTCTATAAAATTTTATAAAATTAATCTTTATTTACCTACTTCGATTTAATCATATAAGTAACTATTGGAATAAATGTATATATTTGTGACATACTATTCTGCAACCTATATCGAAATTGATTGATAAGGGCTTTGTCATTCTAGTTCACATCGCAAGTGAGGTTTTAGAATTTAGTATCATATATAGTGGCTGATTATAATCCTTGCCATAAAGATAAGAGCTCAATCTTTTCTATTATTTTTCAATCATATTCTTCAAATGTAGCCATAAATACTTATAGGAATAAATTCAAATCATAGAGAAGTTGTAAATCTTTTTCTATTAAAGGTGCAAACTAAGAGAGAGCACTTCCTAATAGAAGTGCATTTATAAATCCGACTTGAGTAAATCCATCAAGGTATTGGAAAAGATGCAATCTTAGATAGAACTTGAGTTGTTGCAAAAATCCTCAAAATTTTAATCTTGTTCCACCTAACTTCTCAAGCATACTAATTCTCGTTTCCATCATACTTATAAAATAAAAAATCTTTGGATTTGGTTGTAAGGTCAATCTACTTACTTCTTTCAATTGTACAACTTCTTACCACAGACTCTGAACTTCTTCTATAGGCATAGGCATAGTACCTCCATGATTTACATTGGAAATACATGAGATTTTTACTTTTAGACTATTGACAAACTCATGAAGTTCTACAATAGTTGCAAATCTATTCTCACTTTTGCTAAGAGTAGCATCCATAAGTTTTCTTCTATAGGCAATTCAAAAAAATTAAAAAAATAAATTAGAAGAAGGTAATCTACAACCTCTAATAAAAATTTCTATAAAGATGGATAATCTACTCTCTTTAAGGAAAATAACAATATTAGAAAAAAAGATTTTTTATTTAAAGATGGGTAATCCACAATCTTTAAAATATAATAATAGAAGTAGAATAAGTCACTCACTTCTAAAATAAGATAAAAATAGTAGGTTAGTACTCTTATCAAACTGTCAAGGATATGAATCTCAAGAAAAAAAAATCCTTAATACACTCATGTATCACTGAAAGGAACTAAAAAGTCACTCAAAGATGATATAATATTAAACTAGAATGGCTTTTGCCAAAAATAAGAAAATTAGAAAGTCTTGGAACAAGACTAAGGACTAGAAAGGCATTGATAAGAATGAAGAAGGCTTCTTTCTTATCTCTATATATACTCTTACCTAAGAGCTATATAGTGATGTCTGATAAGACCTCCAAAACATGTTGATTTTGTAAGACATGTATCTTAACTTGCAAGACAAGTTTTCTATATGTGCACCACATAGTTAGCTTGTTTTCCAAGCTATCAACACATGATTAACTTGTTGACCAAGTTTCTAACCTATCAATCAACTACAAACATATGTAAAGTCAAAGTAGTGTCTATGAAGCTTTTAGGAAGCTTCTCTAGAAGGTTTTATGAAATTAACCTACTTTTATCTACTTTCATCTATTCCTACCTAATCATATAGGTATTTATTAGAGTACCTATGTATTCCCATGACACCATGATACTACTCTTTTTGAATTATGGTACAAAAAAAAAAAAAAAAAAAAAAAAAAAAATCAAACATTGTTCATCTGTATACCTTTGATAGCCATTGTTATACAAAAAAATTTAAACTATTTTATGTCAAATTTGATAAAAAAAATCAAGAATATATATTTATGGATATATTATCAAAGACATAAACCTTAAAGAAAGAAATACTCAATACATTCTTATGTCATTCAAAAGAATTAAAAAATCACTCAAAGATGATATAGTATTAAACTAAAATGGCTATTGTCAAAGATAAGAAGACTAGAAAGTCTTGAAACAAGACTTAAGACTAAAAATGCATTGATAAGAGTAAAGAAGGATTCACTATTGCCTCTATATACTATCTAACTAAGAATTATGTGGTGATATTCTATAAGAGCTCCAAAACATGTTAACTTTATAAGATACATATCTTAACTTGCAAGAAAAGTTTTTCATATATATACCACATAATTAGCTTTTTCTATAAACTATCAATATGTATGGCATGTAGTTAATTTGTTGATCAAGTTTCTAACCTATCAATCAACTATAAATACGTGTAAACTTAAAACTATATCTATGAAGCTTTTAAGAAGGTTTTCTAGAAGATATTATGAAATTAATCTATGTTTATCTACTTCTATTTAATCATATAAGAAACTATTGGAGTAAATGTGTATGTCCATGACATTACCCTCCCTTCTCAAACGTGATTTTAAAGAGGAATAACCATCATCTTTTATAGATCTTTCAATTCTTCATCTTAATTTTGATGGATGTTGTTGATGAAAAGTCTCAACCATCTTTGTTGCATTTGCAAGATTCTTTACTGGCTCTCATATCTACGTCAATCAACAAGATATCTCAACCTATTTTTGTATGGTCTTAAAGCTAAGACTCCTTCCATCTTGAATTTTTTATTATTATTCACTTTTTTAAGAAGATGTGGCATTTGTCTGCTTTCCAAGATATTCATTGTCTTATTTGGCTTAAGAAAAGATACATGGAATATGTGATGGATTTTTATAGACTCTTATAGATATAATTGATAAGTAACAAAATTGACTTGTTAATGAGTGGAGATAAACATCCAATTTTTGTTTCATTTTGTTGTAGTATGTCGTCAGTTAGAGTTTGATCCACCTACAATCAATAGCACTCTCCAAAATGGAGGCAAAGTACATAGCTATAGCTGTGGTTGCCTCCAAGTTGGTATGGCTTTGAAACCTACTACATGATCTACAATAATATAATCACCTTGCTTAGAATTAGAATTACCTAGACATGCCTGGAGGAGAAACCTCAGCCATAGGATGATGCAGTTAAGGGGGTGTATTGAAACAGAGTGAACAATGTAACCACACCATGAATACATCAAACAGAGCAATCAAAATGAAATTGATCAAACAAAGCTTCATCCAATTCAGAAGTGACGTGAAGCTTCATCCAATTTAGCTACACGACCTTCAACTGGATAAACAATGTACCACACACGCATAGTGTGTGATTTATTCAATATATTATTTTATGAAACAGTCAATAAGTAATTCTAATAGCTTTGATTCAGCTGGGAGAGGATCAAACAACCCAACAAGTGTTGTAACACACTCTGTGGAATTGAGCGTCGAATCAAAAACTGCAAGTATTTTCATTGTTCATTATTGAGTCAAGAATTGGTATTTACACTGCACCACAAGTTGTTCTCTTTGTCTACAAAAGTGGCACGGTCAATGTGTGACTTTTATCAACCCTTTCTCTCACATCGACGTCAAGTGAAGCCTGCCGTTCAGGTGCTCTCCCTATCTCTATGTGCATGTCTTTCACTTAGGAATAATTATGTCTCTATACAAAAATGCAAAGAATCTGTCTACTCTAGATTTGCTACGCCTAATTTTTAGGGCTCTCGTGGAGATTTGCCGATGTGTAATCATATCTTGTCTAAATTGGGCTGAGAAAATCATTGTGAGTGATTTGTTTGTTGAGAGCTCCAGCGGGTCGCTCGTGCGTGGTTTGCCGGATTGGTTGTTCCATGGATCGATATGGTTTAGAGTGTTGTCTAGATGATTTGCAAAGGCTGCTTTTCTTGCTGCGCATTAACAAGAAATGGCGCAAGGAAGTTAAGTCGAATCTGGATTGGTGCTGTCTTCTCTTGGATGAAGTGATGTAGTTTGATATGTTTCCTTTGCACGCGTAAAATTAGATTCTTGATCAGTTTCATCGCTCCTGAGTTATCACAATAAAGAGGAGTGGAATCATTTGAAAAGATGCCGAGGTCACGCAATAGCTCCCTAACCCCCATGATTTCTCTTGCTAACTCCGTGAGCGCGCGGTGCTCCCCCTTGGTGGTGGATATTGCCACGGTGGCTTAGAGTTTACTCCGCCCGGATGTAAGTGTCTCTCTAAGCTCAAGGAGCATGCCCGAAGTAAATTTTTGACCATCCAAGTCACAAGCCCAATCAGAGTTGGCAAAGGCTTGGAGGTCGAGGTTATTTTCTTTTGAGAATGAAATCCCGTAGGTTGTTGTGCCCTTGATACGCCGTAGAATTCTTCTCGCGGCGTCCATGTGGGCTGCAAGTGGCGATGTCATGAATCTGCTTAGCATCGAAACGGAGCATGCGATATCTGGGCACGAGTGAGAAAAATTAAGCTGCCTACTAAGCTTTGATGTTCTTGCTTATTTGTTGGTGGAGAATTCATTTCTAGTTGTAATTTTGTGTCGCTATCCATTTAAGTGCGACATGGGTTGCATGCTTGTAAGCCATGCTTGATAAACAATTGTTCAACGTTTCGCTCTTGATGGATAAAAATACAATTTTCAACATACTGAAAATGCAGTCCGATGTAGAGTATTGAGATGCTGAGAGCTGACATTTTATATTTTGCCTAGAGTGCTCGTTCAAGTTGAGAGAGCTCTTTGGTGGCGTAGCCTGTGAGCATTATGTCGTCTACGTAAAGAACTAGGATGACGTAATGGTTCGTGTTTGTGACCTTTGTGTACATATTATGATCGTTGTCACTTCTTCGTAAACCTATGCTTCATAGAAAATTATCAATATCAAGATACCAGGCTCTACCAGATTGTTCTAGTCCGTACACAGCTTTCTTTAATCTGCATACTAAGCTCACTTGGCCCTGTTTGATAAAGCCCTGTGGCTGCGTCATAAACACTTCCTCCTTTATGTTGCCATTTAGATACGCTGCTTTCACATCCAGATGCTTAAACTGCCATGCTTTGCGGGCTGCTAAATCTGTCATAATCCGTTTTGTTTTCCACTTCACAGTTGGTGAAAAGGTTTCATCAAAGTCAATACTTGGTCGTTGTTGGAATCCTTGAGCTACTAGCCAAGCTTTGAGCTTCTCTTTCTTCTGATCTGCTGAAATCTTCGTACAAAATACCCACTTAGTGGTTACCGAGGTCTTACCTTCGGTTAAAGGTTTTAACACCCATGTGCCATTCAAAATGAGAGAATCATACTCTTCTTCCATAGCCAGGCACCACTCCAAATGTTTATTTGCAATCTCAATGATTTCCGGCTCCGGTGTCGCCGTGATGGTACTGAAGATGTAATTACGGTACCTGATCGGTGCTGTTCTCGTCCTCATGGAGTGCCTCGTTGGTACTGGAGTGTTTGTGTGTTCTCTTTCCTTTTGATGCACAGTAGGTTGAGGTTCTGCGATAGCGAGCGGGGTCGTCATCTTGTGCGGGATGCGGCATTGTTGGCTCTCTCCCTTTAGTAGGTGTTTTGTCTTCTTGTTGGGGATCTGTATGTGATATGTTCTTATCGTTGATTGAAGAGAGGAAATTGAGCATTTCTGTTGGTGACTCTCGCAGGTCCGTGTGCTGAACAAATGCCATCTCCGATTCATTGAATTGAACAACTTTTGTTACAATGATTTTCTGTTTGTCTAGATCGTAGAGAACATATGCTTTAGAAGCGGAGTCATAACCTCCCATCATGCATAGATTTCCTTGGGGGTCCATCTTGGTGCTCTTTTCTTTGCGCACATGGGAGTACGCCAAGCATCCAAAAACTTTTAGATGCTTGAGGTCCACAAGTTTTCCTTTTCTTGTCTGAATTGGAGGCGTTCCGACATTTGACCTCGTCAAGCTGATGTTGATCAGGTATACTGCTGTACTTACAACTTCTGGCCATAGATCTACTAGTAGATGAGCATCTAAAGCCATCGTGTGTGCCCGGTCGAATATGATTCTATTCATCGTCTCCACCACTCCGTTTTGATGCGGGGTGTGCGGGGCGGTTAACTGCCTGTGTATTACTGCTCTTTCGCAGAATTGCAGGAATTCAGTGGACATAAATTTGCCTCTCCGGTTCGTTCTGAAGAACTTGATTTTTTGCTCATTTCTGTTTTCTATGTAATTCCAGAAATTCTTGAATTTTTTAAATACCATGTTTTTCATTTTCAGAAAATGTACCTAGGTCATCCTTGTGAAGTCGTTAATGATGGTAAAGAAATAGCGAGATCCTCCTCTTGAAACTTGTGAGAATGGTCCGCAAAGATCCGTGTGGATTAGTTCGTTCCTAGTTCCTGCTTGGGTTGTGCTCTCCTTTGGCGCAGCCGCTTTGTGCGTCTTCGTGCACATTAATCACATTAAAATAACAAGTAACGGGGATGTATAGCATACTTGGAGTTTTTGTTATTAATATGTGAAGCGTTTGGAAGTTGAAGTGTTCGAGTCGTTTGTGCCAAAGCATTGCGGGATTTGTTTCGGTGTGGCTTGCTGCAGTTGCTGGTGATGCGTATTTGGTGATGTTCGTTTCAAGCAATGGTAGAGGAGGTGAAATGCTTGGTGCGGATAGGCGATAAAGACCCGTGGCTGCGTCGCGGATTCCTGCTGCCACTAGCTTTGCCGGTTTGCTTTGCGTTACAATCTAGCATCCCGTGGTAGTGAAGACTATGGTGCATCCCCCATCTGCAATGACCCCCACCAACAATAGATTTTTACGTACGTCGGGTACCCCAAAAAACATTCTGGTTGCATCGCCGCATCGTATCGCTACTCTTCCTTCTCGCCGTGCTTCATGTGTCGTGCCTGTTATGGTTTGAACCTTAGGTTTCATGGGTGTCATCTTGACATCATAGGGGTTTGATCTAGAACTGGTGACATACATAGTAGCGCCGGGTCTAGATACCACTCCTCATCATTGCGGTTGAGGTTCAAGGCGAACATTGCTATATCCAAAAGTCAAGCTCAGCGTCATTCTCATCTATTTTCTAGTGCGTTTGTATCAGTTCTGAATTTTTTGCTACAATATTGACTTTCGGTCGATTTTGAGCATTTAGCATTTGTAGTCGTTTGGGGCGTAGGCACTCATTGGCAAATTGATCCCAATCTTTGCAATTGTTGCAGCGCCTATCCCTTGGCAGCCTTTTGTACTGTTTGGTATTTACATCCTCTGTTTGCCCATGACGTTGGGGTTTGCCTACTTAGTCTTGCCTTCTTTTGTAGTTTTTTCATCTTGTCTCATAGGGATGGCTCATAGACGTGGTTCTGAAATATTAGTGCTTCCCTTTTTTATGATTTCTTCAAGTTTTATAAATAAAATATAATATATATATATATATATATATATATATATATATTTGGATTAGTTAGTTTTTTTCAAAATTTGATAAATTAGGAATATTTAAGATTTATTTGGAGTTGATTAGAGTGTAATAAGATATATTTAGAGTTTTTCTAAGATTCATAAGGTGTACCTAGGATAATTAGAAATATTCTTATTATATTCAAGATTGCCAAAAAAATGTTTTTAAACACCTTGTGCATTATACTCCATGCATTCATATACTAGTTTTCACATAATACAACGTACAAACGGGACATATTAGAGCATTGGTCAAACGCTAATGGCAAAACCACACCTGAAATTAAAGAACCAATTGGCCACCTACAAGGTCAGGGTGTCAAATTTCAACTATCTCCAAGAGGGTAGAGAAATAAAAAAAATCCTCAAATCCTAGTACCATACAATAATGTGTAATGATGGTTGCTAAGAGAGTGGTTTAAGGCTTGAGAATTGGAATGAAGATCCAGTATGGCATGCTATTTCAGGGAAGGTCAAATCATCAATCATGCAACTTAACCAAGGCCAAAACATAGTTTTCAGACTCGAAACCTTCAACAATATTGATCGTGGTTGGAGTATAATAAATTTGAATGGTAATTTGATGCTTTACATCAACATTTACAAAAAATTCTTGTAGGATTTTAAGAGGTATTGAGCAAATATCCTTGACTTTGAGAATTCAGGGGGCCAAGATTTGGTGATGTGTTAAATCTTTCTTTATTCTTTTTCTTTTATGTTCTCATTTTCTGTATCTTTATTGTATCCTTATCTTTTTTTAAAAAAACATACAACCAGATACTTCCAATGCTTAAATTATGTAAGTGTGTATAGAACAATCATATTAAACAAGACAACTCATATCCGAACTTAACGGGTACTGGTGTACTCAAAACTAACTACCCTAGCAGTGGTCATCAGGTTGACCGCAACTACAAAACTGGCGTAACCTTACGATATATCAAGAATTCCTTCGGCAGAGCCATGACACCACGACACGATCGACATACACCGCAAACTCATGAAGGCCAGAATCCCTGCATAAGCAAACTTTGATATTGTGTCTGACAAAAGAAACCTTCCAGTTCATCAGTTTGGACATGAGCGAACCGTCACATCGAACACACACACACATCCGACCACATCACCCTTCACAAGCTTGCGATTAACCGCTCTAAGCAGCATGTCTCTTTTATTCACATTCTCCTTCATTCGTGTACAATGGCCCGGGGCGGCTCCATCGCAAGCCCCAGCGTTCACAAGTATCTTCCATCATTCACATCCCTCTCATTCGTTTCACACATTTCAAAGTCACCCTGCGCATGCTGCAGGATGCTGCCTATTCCTACTTCCGCACTGTAACAAATCCCGCGACAGCGCTCGTTCCCGTTTCTATGTACACCTTCCGCGACCCAGTATGTAGCACACCATCACACCTTCACGCCTCACGCGATCTCTATCTGGCGCACTTGTGGCTTCGGTTCCTGAAGCTTGGGAACTGTCACCGTCAGAACTCCGTCCTGCACCTGCGCCTTCACTTCGTCCGTGTTGGTGCCCTCCGGCAGCCGGAACCGTCGCATAAAACTGCCCTGCGCACGCTCCACCCGGTGCCAGGTATCGCCCTTCTGCACCTCCTCTTTCTTCCTCTCGCCGCTGATCTCCAGCGTCCTCCCCTCCACCACTCGCACTTTCACCTCTTCCTTCTTCAGCCCAGGCAGGTCCGCTTTGAAGATGTGCGCCTCCGGCGTTTCACGCCAATCGATCCGCGTGTTCGCCACGGCCTGCGCGTCGCCTGCAAATCGCCGGGACGGCCCGCCCTCCAGCACCGAGAAAGGATCCCACACACCGCCGAACTCGAAGGGATCGAACACACTGTTGCCACGACCGCCGAACAGCGATAGAGCCATGTCTGCCTCGACCTCTCAAGAACGCAGGACCCGAAGAAAATGCACTCAACCGCGTCTCACCCCAAGCTGCGACCTAAGAGCCTCGGAGTTCAAGGAACGGCCGACCTACTTGAACGAATAACCTCCCACAATGGACGCTCACAAAAATCTCAGCTGCCAAACTATCTCTCAGAAAGCTGAAGACCACAACTGGACACACTTCGTCAACCACACTCCGATCGTAACAACTCAGTCCGTGTTGCAATCAACGATGCGCGCTCTGACGCCGAGAGCCACTATATATACTACTCCAGAATGCACAATGCAAGGGCGGACCGAGGGAATTGCAGAGGGCGTCGGAAAGGAAGGAAGCAAGGAAGAGTGTAGAATTGGAAGCAGATGGTTCCCGAGCATTCTCGACTCACTCCAGGGGACCCTCTCGAAGCCTCCAGGGCCTCCCTGCCTCGCCCGCATCCTTTGCCACTTTGGCATCCATTGTGCTGACTTGGCATCGCCGACGTGGGCACTCCGGGTGTGTTGTTCAGGACGGTGTGAGGGCACTTGGCTGCAGTGTCGACTCCAGTCTACTTCAGCTCTACCGTAGCTCCAGGACCGGTTCAGGGCGTGATACCGTGTGGAAGGGTGGGTCCCTGACTCCGTGGTTGGTTGGTGCAGCAGAAGCCCAAAGTAACAATAAGGAATATGTTTGACATTGGTTTCAGAGTGATGTTCACATTCTTGTGAATGACCAATACATGCCCCAGTGACTGATGAGTACATGCCCTAGTGAATGATGGACTATGTACTAATGAGGATCGATAATAGCAATTTCTTTATATATATATATATATATATATAGATATCAGTTTTGGATGGATGTGTGTACTCATGGTGTGTGGAATTAGTCATAAGAATGTTGAATTACAAAGTATTCATTCAAGTAGTTTGCATGCACCTATGAATAAACTTTGCCATCTTGTCACAACTGGAGACATATTGACGGCACAAGTATTTTTCATATTGACTGCACTGCAAAGTACGACTCAGACGATGAGGAGTGGCACAAATGCGATTACAACACATACACTTTACTCATTTCTTGTACCACTTTCAAGTTGCATCACAACGCAAGATGTCTGGGATCAATTATCAGAAGAGCATAAACATAAAAGCAGTGAAAGTATACATGAGCTTCAACGGCAATTCTTTGATGCTAAAATTGAGCATGGTCAATCAATTTGCAGTTTTATAGCTCAACTTGAGCTTATAATGAGTGAGTTACGAGAATTGGGTGATACATCATTCTCGGATGCGTTTATGATTTCTAAGCTTACAGCAAATCTTCCCGCTATCTTCGATGGATTACCACTGCCTGGGAAAGTACATGCCTTGAAAAACATAGACCATATATTTGTTGTTGTGAAAAACATAGAAATGTAATTTTTGTAGAATCGTAATTTAAAATTTGGTAGCATGCATTCTTCCTGATATTACTTGAGCATATGTAGCATTGGCATGGGGGGGGGGGGGGGGGGGGGGGGAA